TCTGGCTTGGCATCTGTGGTCCTTTTAAATGGGGAATACTTTGGTTCAGGCTCTTCTGGCTTTCATAGTTTTCACTGAAAAGTCAGCTGTAATCCTAATGGGTTTTCCTTCATATGTGACTTGTTGTTTCTCTTTTGCAGCTTTCAGTATTGTTTCTTTGTTTTGTACGTGTTCTGTTTTTACTATGATGTGCAGGGGAGAGTTTCTTTTTCTGGTCCTGTCTGGTGTTGTATATGCTTCTTGTATTTCTATGAGCATGTCTTTCTTTAATTTTGGGAAATTTTCTTCCATGATTCTGTTTAAGATCTGGTCCACGCCATTATCCTGGGATACTTCTTCCTGTAGGCCTATGATTCATAAGTTTGGTCTTTTTATGGTGTCACACAATTCCTGCATATTCCATTTTTGTGATTTCTTAAATTTTTCACAATCTGCTTGGTTGGTCTAGTTTGTCCACCTTATCTTCCATTATTGATACTCCGTTTTCCATTTCATTCATCCTGTTGTTGAGGCTTTCTCCTGTCATTTCTAATTGGCTTACTTAATGTTTCACTTCCTTCTTCATTTCAGCCTGAGTATTCTTCAATATTTCTAACTCTTTTCTGAATTCATTCTGAAGTTTATCCCTCTCTTCCTTAAGTTCTTTGATTTCTTTGTATGTTCTTTAAATTCAGTGAATTCTTTTATCATGTTTATAATTGTTCTTTTGAGTTCCATATCCTGCATTATCTCTAGGGGGTTCTCATTGTACTCCTCCAGAGGACTATTGGTATTTGGTGGGGATATGTTATTTCGGTTTTTCATGTTATTATTTTTTCTTTGTGACTTTGACGTGAATTTCCGTCCTAGTTTCTGATTCTTACATGAGACTAAGACCTTAAAGTTTAGGTCTGTTTCTTTTTGTGAACTTTATGTGTCTTTGTGATTTACTTTTTGGGCATGAAAAGCTGGTTCGTCTAAGTTTCTGGTTCTCTCTTTTGATTTTATATTGGCATGTCCAGATTGCTTTTGTCTTCAGGAGTTCCCACAGAGGCCCAATTCAGATGTTTTCAGGCTTTCTCCAAAGGTCTGGATCCTTCCAGGAACTATTTTGGCCTCAGGAATTTGGGGGTTGGACTGGCCTGGGAGGCTGGCCCAGGAAAGATGCTGGTCTAGGGCAGCTGGTGGCCGTGCCACCCAGAGATGCAAAGACAGTTGGGGCAGAAAGAGGCCCCAAGGACTCCTGTTGACTGCATTGAGGAGCTGTGTTGGTCCAGGAGAAAGGCCTGCTGGTAGGAGAGAGGTCTGGGGCAGGTCCCCCAGAGAGAGTCTTGCAGGTAGGACAGAGGCCTGTGGCCAGTCCTCCAGGCCCAGGGAAGCAGCCAAATTCCATTTACCTGTTTTGATTGTTCTATTAGTTCTTTGGATATTAGTGGCTTTTAAATTCTTCTGGGCTCTGGAGTTCTCAACTGGCTAGCTACCAAATAGTTCTCCCAGCCTGGAGAGCATTCCTTAATTCTGTTTATCTATTCCTTTTTTCTTCAGAATTTTTTTTTTATCCTCTAACACTTTATTATAGTTACAGCTCCCAAAGAAAATCTTGGCAATGTTTAAGAATAAAGAGCTATTGAAGGGTCCTGAGTGGTAATTAAAACTTTCATTCACATTTCAAAGACAGTAATTATTTCCTGAAGTCCACAGCCTAAAAGAAC